TTGTTTCACATCGAGTTGCGCTAATAAACAAATTGGACTTTTCCATGTATTATCAGAACATTTTGAATACTATAGCCAATTGGATTAGAAATAGCCTGACTGATTTGGGTGCGGAAGAGCTTATATCTGGATTTTGTGATGTTTGTGATAGCATGTCTAGTAACGCTCTCAGAGAATATCTATATTATTGTAAAAATGAGGTTATGTCTGATTTGAATAAAATGTTGTGAAAAATGTGACTAGTTTTTTTCATTTCATCAGTCTACAACTTGACGCGAGACTAGTAGCATCTGAAATATTTTAGCTCTGCTCGAAAAATCATGAAGTCTGAAATAGCTGTGCTATTGGAGTTTATAAAATCTCCCGCTTCGACTTTGACGAAATTCACTGAACAAGAATTGCAGTACATTCCAGTAGAATGTCTCATTGAATATGCAGATCCTTATGGGCTATTAAGAGTGTGGCACAAACTTCCTCAAGAATATCGCAGCAACTTTAATCTACAAATCAAACTGCCATGCTTCGTTCATTATAATCGTCCCGATTGGACCACACACTGGGATGGACCGCCATCTTCTCAAGAGGCATGTCATTTTTGTAGAAAAGGATTACTTAAATAAATAGATTATTTATCTTCGTTTTCGTATTCTTTCACCCTCATGGGCCGCCCTGTATATATATTTTTCTCAATTATCAATCAACTCAAACGCCCTGTATATGAAAATTCAATCTTGTTATTATCATTAAAGTCACAGTTTGAGGAATGGGTATACGAGCGCGCGCTTATCATTCTAAGGGATCTCTCGCTTTGATGGATCTTCGAACACCATGAATCGAGACAGCGTTGCCACACACAATAATGTAACAATATTAACATCCAAACACATACGTCTGACAACGTTGCAGCGCCGAGCGCTCGAGCCTTCTCTCTTATCTTTGAAACGGATCTGTAGCATCGGTGTGACGAAACAGCAGCGAGGAGACGACCACCGATGCGCGCATTCATTTATTTTCAACTCGAAGTTTCTTATCTCTGGAATGCATCTCTCGCTTCACACTACCTCGATAGATCCGTTGCAAAGATAAGCGCGCGCCTGCGATGGATATTATTTTCGACTCGAAGTTTCTTATCTCTGGAATGCATCTCTCGCTTCACTGTACCTCTACAGATCCGTTGCAAAGATAAGCGCGCGCCTGCGATGGATATTATTTTCGACTCGAAGTTTCTTATCTCTGGAATGCATCTCTCGCTTCACTCTACCTCGATGGATCCGTTGCAAAGATAAGCGCGCGCCAGCTATGGATATCCCGTTTGAATAGCATTAAAATAATTGAAATATCACGGAGGTCGGAATACCACAGTGCGTATATACGCTGCCTCATAATGCAAAGGTCCCTGGTTCAATTTCCCCCATCAGCGGTGACAGCTTTTTTTAATTTATTTATTCACGATGGCGACGTGACGACGTATGAATAATTTGAATTTCGCGCCGGTTTTTAGTGGGCGTGGCCTCCAATTAAATGCTGGTCTCTGATTGGCTTGGTCCAGAATCCCTATAGCCCCTCTACTGATACGTTATGCAGAAGAATAGAAGACTGGAATTTGTTTTCTTCCCAGGTAGCAGAGTGACGTCCAATTGACGTCATTTTTTGGTCATAAAATGACGAAGTGGACGTTCAAAAATGACGTCCGAGAGACCCTATAATGACGTCAAAATGTCACAGCCATATGACGTCATACTTAGACGTCATAATGACGTCGCAGAATGACCAATAAAGGACGAAATAAAAAAAATTAGGAGGTTTATATATATATATACGGTATTATTGGTACATGATGATATACCACAAACCTTTGATGACATTCATTTTGTAACTATACGTTGTGGAAACTTGGTTGATGGTCCTCCCGAGCAGTCCTGTTGAATCCTAGCGCTATCGCTACTACCTATGAATCTTTATATGAGAATATCGTTAGCTACTCGTATTTGTACCTAAAATTATGTAGCGAGCGTCGGCGAGATGTAAGCTAATAAACTTATTTTTAGCTAAACTATCCATTTCTGAAAAATCCTCTGCAGCAGGTCGATTCTATTTCCGATTTGCCACATTTGAAAGTAAGAATCATATATATACAGGGTGATCCACGTTTAAGTTAAGACGTCCGCGGCAATTTTTTCAATTGGAAACAATAATAATAACCTATATAAGATACATTCAATTTTTGCAATATTCATGGAAATCTGAATTCAAAAATATATTACACATAGGGTTTGTATACAGTGTGTCCGTTAAATTGAGTCATCTCGCGTGGAGAAAATAAAGTAGTCATGCAATCAATGTACTATTATACCTTACCATACAATTCCTTGCTGAGGATTCTCCCAAAATAGGTCGATTTTTATTTTAAATTACCAACAATATTGAGAAAAAATTGAATATACAGGGTGATTCAAGTTTGAGTTACAACGTCCACGACCATTTTTTCAAAGGAACACCCTATAAATTAATCGATTTTTGAAGTCTCTATTCAAAGCTGGATTCAAAAATATATGAGTCTGTATACAGTGCGTTCGTTGAATTAAGTTCTTTTGCGAAGTAGCGAATAAATTTGTTGAAAATTGAAAAAACATTTTTTTTTTTCAGAGAATAATGCTCGAAGCCGTAGAATTTCATTTTCATTTAGGCTTTATCTCATATTGAATCAATATATACAGAATGATTCGTGTAAAAGAAATTACGTCATCTATATATTTTAATGACGATCCAATTTTACGAGAGAACTGAATTTAACGAACGCCCTGTATACAAACCCTTTGTGCCATATACATTTGATTACGAAAATTCAATAATATATATCCGTTTGAAAAATGTGTCGTGTACGTCATAATACAAACGTGTATCATCCTGTATATTTGATGATTCCTCCGTATAAATAAATGACGAATCAGAAATAAAAGCCTCTCCTGTTTTCTCAGAAATATATAAGATAGATAGATATTGGATAATAATGAATTTTTCCACTACTTCACGAGAGCATCTAATTTATTGGACGTACTTACCTATACAATCCACATGATTGTGTTAAACATTTTCGAATTCCGCTTCCCATGGTTATTCCAAAGATTGAGTAATATATATATAAGGTGCTCTATTCAAAAAAATTGTCGTTATGGTCATTACTCAAACGTGGATCATCATGTATGTATATTCAGTTTTTCTCATAAATATATGGCAAATTGAAAATGAAAATAGACCGTTTTCAGCAGATTCCTCAAAAATGCATAATTTGGCTGAAAATAAATTTGTTCATCAGTACTCACGAAATCACTCTATATACAAACACAAATTTAGTACGTTCAATTAACAATCGATGAAAAAGTAAGAAAGCGACTGATTTTTCTTATTTGGTCGAATATACGACTTTGTAGGGACGTCATTAAGACGTCCAATATTGAACGTCAATAAGACGTCATGAAATATGACGTCATTTTCAGGTCCCTCTGAAGTCGAGGACGTCATTGACCAATAATGCCCTAAAAAAGACGTCATTATGACGTCATTCCACTAACCTGTGCTACCTGGGTTCATTCTATATATTTTTGTCTGTTCCGTTTGGTTTGTTCATCGATAGAGATATTTTCATTCACTTTTGATCCCAAGTTCTTCAAAAGGAATATTTTTTCATTGACTTTTTTCATCCAATATGATTTATCACAGAATTCAACATATATTGATGGAATAAGAATAGTTTGAACTTGTTTTTTCACACCAGTAATTTCGATACTTGAAAGGAAACTAAAGATTTCATGTTTACTATAATCAATTTCTTTAATGAAAAAGCATTTATCTCAGAAGGTCACCATATAATTTCTCTTCCGCGCTAACCTTACTGAGCCGTGACTTTCTATCGCCTTCCCCTCAAACATCGTGTGGATCCGCCCCTGTACAGCCGGCTATGGATCAGGTGAAAGTCAGGCCAGAAACACTCGAAAGTCAGCTCTTTCCACCAAACGGCATCGCTTGTGAATTGAGGGTTACAGACAGAATCGAAGAAACTGAAGGTCTTCAAACTATCGCTCTATGAAACCATGCCTACCACTGACGATAAGACTTTCCTGCTTTGTAGCAAAAAAGCAGAAGTTGAGACCTACAAGAGGCATCATGAATTGGATAAGAGGCTCTACCATTCCATTCGAGAGAAATTACATCACTTGTCTCTTTCCAGACAGAAACATAGTACAGCAAAATCATCATTGACAGCGTTGATCGCACTCCATTGTGAGTTATTGGTTGCGAAAATGCGAATTTAAAAGAAAAACGCGATAGCAAGAGTCTCATCGTCTGCAAAGCTGTTGGTAAAGCAAGTGATAGCTCTCAATAGATCATTGATATGTAGAAGGAATAATGTTGAATCAAAAATTGATCCTTGTGGGATGACGAAATTGCATGATGACAATAGTGCCAGTCTATATTCCGTTTACCATCACATGGAACGATCTGCGTGGTGAAAAACTTGGAATATGAAGCTTGCCAGATATGAGTGATGTAGGCAAGTGAATAACCTCTAGTTGGTCTTTGGTAGTGAGAGCCATATCAATGATTCTCAAACTTTCCTGATATTTAATCAGCTCAATGTTTATGGCTTCCTCCGTTACTTTGGAGATGACTGAAAGCAGCGCAATTGGCCTGCATTTGTCGGACAGGCATATTCTTCATCTTCTGGTGATTGGTTATACTTCACCTATTTCAGTGGAATAGTTGAACACCCGACTTGTACGAGATGCTGAATAACTTGCAGAGCATCGTTATCAATTCTGGTGCACACTTTTCGAATATTCAAGTTGTATCAGAAGCATTAGCCTTATTCGTAGTGAAAGCCAGCAGAATTCGTTCGATAGTGCGTTGACGAAAAGCGATTCCGAGTTGTTATTTCTCAGTCGCATTCCATCTTCCACCTCATGTGTTCCCCACCAAGTATTTTCTTCTTTCGTCCCCAGCAAAGCAATCATTGCTAGCTATATTACCTGCACTAAGATGAAGTCCTCAGGAGTATCAGAACCTCAGGATGATCTTGTCGATACTTCGCCCGCTATTTGTGCATCAGAATTATGTTTGACTTCTCAATTAGTATTATCAACTACCTCAATGAACGACGCTGCTACTTCGACCGCTATTTGTGCAACATGTTCTACTTCCCAATTAGTATCATCAACTATCTCAATGAACGACGCCCCATTAATCAGTTACTTTCTGCGTTTACACTCGAGAGCATAATACGATCCGCTCTTGATGAAACCTTACAAAAACGCGGACGTTGTCGGAGAGGATGTGGACCTACCTTTTTCCTTGTGCAGCTTGAATTTCATCATCCAAACTATCAGTTATGGATATATGGGTTCTGATCACGTCTGGATATAACAAATCGAGCATAGCCAAGTTTAAATAAACTGCCACTGAAGGAAACCTTATTTTCGGTGGAAATGGACGGTCAGTCACTGTCAGTCAGAGATTTTTCCTGTCAGTCGAACTTGACTGACATGGCCCGAATGGGAACAACACCCCTGATCTCAATGTGCCAATGGAAAAAGTGGCAGGAATGTGTCAAGGTACACTCAGTTTTCCACCCCTTTTTCCAGTCTGGGAGAAATGGCATCACCTCTAGACTTGAACTCTCTTTTCTGCATCCAGCAGATGTGATACCCCCTGTATCATTTTTCAGCAAGGGGAAGTGAAGTCCTGAAGTGTTTGAGAAAAGAACCGGAAGCTGATAGACCTGGCCACCATGTTTCTTTCCACATATGTCAGTCACAAGGTTATACAAGTTCACAGCTGAAGCTGGAGGGATTTGCCTTGTCGCTCTCAATGAATCGCTTTCATTTAAGTGCAAACACAGAGCTGGCCTCAGATGCCTCAGCTTTGTGCACTACGTGTTTTAGCAGGACCTGCCATAACGTCACAATATTTCTGATCAACGAGGGTGGCGACGACTTCGACGATCCTTCATCTTTAAGAGATCAGGCTGAGATAGACACACCTGCAACTCTTCTCAGTTCCAGAATACGACCGTGAACCACCTGAACTTTGAGCGAATTATCAGATCAAATTATCAATTTGTGTGTGACTATGATAATATGAATAGGATAGGATCGGAGGATATCTGCTAGGTTCCTGAGTATTTCCTCACCTCTATAATTTCGTCATATTCTGATCAGGAGTATTCTGGCCCATTTCTACAGGAATTCAATATCCAATTTATTTTTCCCACAATCCCTAAGAAAGAAGACTTCCACTCGAACTCGAATAAGAGTTTCGAAAATTCGCTACAACTTCATTGTCAGAGCTCTTCACGTAGGTTGAGTGGTCATGACGATATTCTGCAAAGTTTTGGGGTGATAAATCTCGAAGACTATTGGACGTACAAAGTTGCGATAGAGCTGAATTTCAAAATATTCAATTGGATCTTGTATCTAGGAATACATATCTTCTCAATTATATATAACGCAACATCTGAGGATATTTCATTTATTTTTCGACGTATTACGACGCGACCACAGGTATATCAGGATCATATTTGGATCACGCTCTTCGAATGTCTTATTTGACGAGCGTATCTGATATCATATTCCTCTGTACGATTCGACCTGCAAAGTGCATAATCTGTCTTAAACTCTGTGAGTTTGTTCGATATTTCCTGAAACCTGATGGTGAGTAGGTGTTGGAGTGAAATGTTTCATTTGAGAAACAGTGCCTAAAAGTGTGGCTTGAATGAATAGTTACATTGAATGTTTAGAATATATAATTCATTTTCCGCTAGATATCAGAGATTTGATTCTCCGAGAACAGTAGAACTGAGGCTATTGTGGTAGTTAATAGTGATGATATTTTTTGTCAATTGCTGGTGTGTCTGCGTCTTGGGATGATGATCTCAATTTTTCAGTATACTTGAACCAGAAGCCATCTCCAAACTAGTCGGGTACTTCAAACCTGGTCAAACACACTTGACAACACATGATGCAATTGTTTGGACTGGCGTTATGATCGGCCTAAAGTTGCTGCACTGCCTCTACTTCCAAAATTACCTCATCTACATCAACCAACTTGCAATCCAAATCCGAACAGCTTACTGCTCACTTATATACAGAAAATCTCTCAAGTTGAGCCCAGCAGCACTCGAAAAAGTTAGTTCAGGTTAGTATAATAATTCAGTGTGTGATCATGAGAACGCTCATTATATCACAAATTTAATATCACACTTCATCGCCATGCGCGTTATTCAAGAAGCAACTAGCGAAGCGGTTCGTTATTCAGAAAAAAAGGTCGAGGTGAAGCAATAAATCTGATGACGAATGCTGAGAGTACAGTGTGTCTATTCAGTTCGTAATTCTTCGATATATCGAAATCCATTCACACAAGAGAAGAACTTCTGAAAACAAATTCCTCTCGTTATTAAAGGTTAACATTCCAGAAATATTTTCAGCAATAATGGGTGTTTTATGAAATCGGGACGACTCGAGGACGAAGTTGAGCCCTACATCGCTGTAGAAACATTCAATGGTTGCGGCGTTGCCAAGATATAATGGATAAACCCATTTTCACTAGTATTGAAGGGTCCTGCTGAATTGAGTATGGTTTATTCATTTATCCAAATTTTGAAAATATTTCTGACATAAAGTAGTAGCAAGATGTCACATACACCAATCCAGTGATTTTGCGAGACAATCCTCCACAGGGTGCTTGATTTTACATTCTGAATATTGTAACATTCAGACGTTGTTCATCAGAATTTTTCAAATAGAACACCCTGTATTTTCCATCACAGATTGATTCTGACATCTTTCGCCTTATCATCGCTGGAAAAAAATCGAAAGCGGCTGCGGCGTTTTCAAGTTAAGAGTAATTTCCTTATGATCATCACTATCTCAGGGCTACTTATACGGCATGGTTCCTTCATTCGATTTGAGTGTGAGAATATTGCTTGCCACATGACATCCAAGGTTCTACATAGATCATTCAGATATTTTTGCGATATGTGCATTTTTTGAATTCATAATATCCTGTTATCTTTTTACTTATGATTCAAATAATATGTACCTATGTGAATCGAACAAACATGCCAAAAGCAACGCCTGCCTTCAAAACAACTTCTACAATTCAAACAATGGAGATTTGGATTGCGAGATTGAGGACAATTTGCTCAAACTTTGTGCCACTCTCATTGTCGTCATTCCAACAATCCAAATATCCATTTAACTTGAAGGGGGTAAACATAATGATACAATACTGCCTGTAGGTTAATCGAGGAGGTGGAACATTCATTTTACTTGATTCTTCGAGATTTTCTCTCCTCGTTTCTATGAAATAAAAGTATTCGTATTATTTCAATATATTTGTAGAGGGACAAATAAGATGATTTGCTCAAAAATGTCACTGCGTTTATCAAATTTTTCTATCAGGGAGTCTAAAAGAAAAATCCAGTAGCTTGTCAGTGACAAATTGTTTGGAAAAATGTTTGAAGGAAACAAATATAGATATATTGAAAAAATATGCCAACATCAGTATGACACTGAAAAGTGTCAGACTAAAAGCAGCACCACTTTCAAAGAAACATAATTTGCATTTACATGTTGAGAACGGGAGCAGAATCGGTCCCGAAACGTCCAAAGATAAGTAAAAATTTCTTTCCTCCAAAAATTTTTTCAAACGAATTGTCACTGACAAGCTACTGGATTTTTTCTTAGGCTCCCTCATAAAAGAATTTGTTAAACGCAGTGACATTTTGGGGCGAATCATCCGATTTGTCCCTCTACAAATATATTGAAATAATACGAATACTTTCATTTTATAGAAACAAGGAAAGAAAATCCCAAAGAATCAAGTCAAATAATGATACAAACTATATTTTTCACAACGCGGGTTTCGGGAGGAGATTCAGCAGAATTTGAAATAAATTCAATATATATATATGATTGTGGCGATGTTTGACAAGTCATTACACAAATATAGGCGTATTTCGAAGAATTAATTCATAGTTTGCAAAAAATCTGTGAACTCACTCTGTTTTGAATTCAAACTTGAAGAGCCTGTGGATGTTCCAATTGGAAAAAAGTACATGAATGGTCAATAAAGAGATCCAAATATACCGTATAGCATTAAAATATTTTTACAATAAGAATAAAATATGAAAGAACTATGTCGTACAAATCACCCCGAAATAGTGGTAAGAATATGGAAATTATCCATAACTTGGAAACGCGGCAACCGATTTGGATTTTTGCTTCAGCGATGAAAAGGCGGAAGATGTCGAAATGAATTTGTGAATAAAAATACAGGGTGTTCCATTTGAATAATCTCAATGAATGTCATCTGAATCTTGCAAGATTATTAATGCCACATTGAGCACCCTGTCAAAGAAGATGTCGCAAAATGACTCTATTGGTATACGTGAGACCCCGCTACTACCGTATGTCATAAACATTTTCAAAATTTCAATATATGAATATACCATGCTCAATTCAATAAGACTCTTCAATAGTGGTGAGAGAAGATTCATCAATAATAACTTGGCAACGCCGCAATTCATTCCAATTTTTTTCACAGCGATATGAATGTTAACCTCGTCGGAATGAACTCCGAATGAACAATACTGGGTATTCCGTTTGAGAAAAACTTGTTTCTGAGTTTTCTTGCTTTCATGAAACACTCAGTAATGTTGAAAGTATTTTTGAAACAAGCAACTTTGGTAACTGAAAAACTTCTTTCTTCAAAGTTTTTCAATATAATTAGGTTATGGCTTTCGAGATATCTAAGAATAACGCACTGAATGGACACACTGTATAATTCACTCATACATAGAAAAATGATTGCAATATTAAGAGGTTACAGTGAGACGCCAACAACATTGTTGAGAACTCTAGATTTTCTGATTCAAAGGTGATTATTGAACACTCAAATATTTTCTTTCAGTACTGGGGAAATTTGTCCAATCAATTGTTTATGATTGTACTACAATCTTGAGGTTATGAAGCTATCATCATTGAGTATCGGTTAACTGTCAGCAGAACTCTCTAGGACAACCAATTCGGAATTATTTCGAAAATTCTGGCATTGCAATAATAGTTCAAACAAGTTGAAGAATGTGGAATCCACTAGTCCTCGTCCAACTTAGCAATAATTCTCAGAAATTTAATTTAACAAATCATTCTTCAATTGTCTTATTGCATCCTGAATGAGTTTCACTTCCTAGGATCAATTTGAGACTGGATACTATCTGAATGGGTAATTTATTATTCGTTCGTGATGATGAGCAATTGAGAGTCTTCAGGTTTATTATATTATTAGAGAGTGTCTATAAAGAATGATGATTTTCGTGAATTGCTCAAAGTGAGTTGATGATATTTGTTTCGTCCATTTTCTCGACGTCTGGCATAATCATATTTATATCTCGATTCAGGAGTGTTCTTGACAAATCCTCAATAAAATATATCAACTAACAAAGACATATGAATATTTCCTTCCAAATTCGAGTTTTGTGTCAACCAATTATTTCTTTCTTGAGTTCTGAAAAAATCTGAATCTCCTCCGTAGCATTCTGGGGATTGATCATGATCATTGATGGAGAAGGAAGATCTAGATGAACATGTTCTTGATTATTCTGTACTATTCATAAGGTCAAATCAGCAACAAAGATCGGAGAATACATTAATTCTCAGTAGTTATCGATCAAATTGAAGAATAATCATTATTATATTCTAGGAAACATTGTTACAGTCATCACCAAGGATGTTCTACAACTGGAGACCTCTATATGGCTGTTCAACGATCTCTGGATAGCATTTATTCAAACGATAGTTTTGTGCTATTTGATCTATAATCGGATTGGGATGCCATCTCTTGTAGGGATAATGTTCCTCATCGGAGCAATACCAATACAAGGTAATATCAGTATACCAACTCTCTAAGTAAGGAGGCTTTAGGTATGGAATATAAATGAAATGAGCATAAAGAAAGTTTCACCCATATGGTTCAGTTTCATATGTTCGGGATGTTTTCAAGTAATATCAGAAATGAAATATTCTGAATTTTTTACAGAACAGTAACTAGCCTCTTCTATTCAAGCATAGCTAAAATACTAGCAAAACGAATCTAAACGCAATACCATATATGGAGTGTTAGTTATTCAATGGCGAATTCCAGAATTTTCGCTTTTTCGATTCACTTTGTAATGAAACCCCTAGAGTTGATATAACCGGTGAAGATGTCATTCAATGATGAAACACAAACAACAATTTAATACGAATTGTCCCCAGTAATGAAGAGCTTTCGGATATACAACAAATAGAATGACAGACAAACACACTCCAAAGACTGCAAGGAGAAATACTGATACTCAGACCATAAAACTATATATATTCTGGAGGACTGGCATAATTTCAACCATGAATTCCCACTCTGGGCGAATCTAATGCCAACTTGAGTTTTGTTTGGCTCAGCTACGCTTAGTCGGCGGTCTTAGGATTGCTGGCCGGAGACTGTCCTGCACTGATGAGAGTCAAAGAGCTCAAAACCGGTCTGTAGGTGTCTAGCGTGGCGTAGCTAGATCAAAATCAATAGGCATTCTGGAAAAAATCACTTATATACCTGAAATATATATTCGAATATCTTGGTTCGGAAGGCATAATAATAAATTCGAAATATACGTGTCAAAGTCAAAAATTATATTTTTTTATACTAATGTTTCTTTGTTTCCACAGTCGACTCATGTAAAATTACAGGGCAATTATGGAATCGAACAAACTCATTGAACAATCTACAACATTCTATCCCCTAGTATTTGTTTCATCCTGGTTTGACTACAAATACTATCTTCATTTCTTCTATTGATCATTGGTTTCGTCCTCTTTTCTTGATCCAGTACACAAAGTCTCGATACTGGCCATTCGATGTCGTAACATCAACAACTCTTATTTTTCCATCTTTGGCTTGATATAGTTTAGTCACTTCAGCTTTGTGCCAAACATTTCTCAGACCATTGGGGTCTACAATCAAAACGATATCCCCTAATTTGATTGGAACTCGATCTTTGAACCATTCAGTTCTTTTGGCAATCAATGGTAAATATTCTTTTGACCATCTCTGCCAAAAGATGTACACTATCTTTTGAGCAGCTCTCCACTCCGACAGCAAATCAACATTCTTCTCATCGATGTCAGTACAATGAGGAAGTGATTTGGAGTCAGAGCTTCCGTATCGTCAGGGCCGACAGAAACGTGAGTCAGTGGTCGAGAGTTTAAAATATTTTCAATTTCGACAAATATTGTCCTCAGAACATATTTTTGAGGATGCTTGGTCTCGAGTACTTCTTTGATGTTCTTCTTTATGGATTGCATGAGTCGTTCTCATGCTCCTACCATATGAGTTGCAGAACTTGGATTCCAGTACCATTTAACACCCATCAATGTACAACATTTGGTTTTTCCTGACTTATTTGATTTCCTGAGGTTTTCTGAGAGTTTTCGATCAGTCCCTTCAAAACATAAGCCATTGTCGCTGTACATTTCTTCCGGGAATCTACTACTACAGTCAAATTGTCATAACACACGAATGATTCCATCTGTCCTCAAGTCAGAAAATGACACCATATCGTTCAATGACACTTCTTTCAACAGCCACCTCGATTGGTCCAAAATGATCAACTCCTGATTTGATGAATGGCCTAATTGTTGTTTTTGAATGAAATGACGGTAGTCTCATGATCGGAATTAATGGCGGAGATTTTCTATTCTTACATTTCTGACAATTTGCCCAACAACTTCTGACAGCATGTCGCATTTTAAGTATCCAACATTTTTGTCTGAGGTTGTTGATGACTGTTTCTTGTCTATGATGGTTGACTTCCTCATGATAGTGTTGAATGATCAATTTCGTAATTTTGTGCTTCGGATCTGAAACTATTGGACTTTTTATATTCATATCCAATAAACTGCTCTTATTCAATCTTCCCCCCAATCTTATCAATCTCTCGTCAGGATTCAATTGACAGTTGGATGTAAATAGTCGGCTAGATCTGGATAAAGATTAACCTCTCGATAGGACAGTCAATTCTTCTGGAAATGAATCATATTAGACTTTCCTGTAAAGCAATTTTTCAGATTCCTGAAGTTTTATGCAATCAAGCATGGCCTTCTTCTTGATCTTTTTTCGACAATTCTCTATGAATCTCTCTATCCAAGTCGTTGCTGTCGACAGTCTCATTTATTTCGAGAATCTTTCTGGATTGGTAAATTCTAAATTTTCTTTGTTGAAGTTCAAAAATACGAATTCTCTACGTTCTTTGGTATCCTCTTGACGTCCAAGTGAATCTCATATTATATCTGCAGATGGCCACTTCTTATGGTTTCCGAGCTGAAATGGTGGATCATTGATCCATCTACTGCCGGATGAGTAATTCATGTTATCATAATATTTAGTAGCTCAATCAGCAACATTTTGTTTCGATCCAACGTGTCTTCATTCAAATGAACTAGTTATCTCCTGAATCTCACCGAGTCTCTGAGCAACAAATACCATGTAACTACGTGCTTCTGAATCAATCCAGTCCAGAACTGTTCAAGAATCGGTCCAATAGGAAGTTTTGCTGATAATCAATTCCAAATTATTTTTTAAAAAAGTTCCAAGTCTCGCCCCCATTAATGCTGCTTCTAATTCCAGTCGCGGTATTGAAGTTTGGCTTCAGAGGTGCAATTTTTGTTTTATCACTTACAAAACAGACACTTACCTTATTGTTATCACGCCAGCTCATAAATGTCACACATGCACAAGCATTTTCAGAGGCGTCGCACAAATATGTGGAGTTGGATTTCACTTGTCTCTCTATTTGAAATACAGTACTGCCAGGGAATGCTGAATTCAGAAATATTCTTCAAATCCTTTATATATTTAGCCAATTTTTTGTTCAGAGTTATCGGTGATCTCGTCATCCCATACTATTTGACTCCGCCATAATTATTATATTCTGTAATGGAATTTTCCCAGTGACCATTCCTGAAAATCCCAGCGGATCGAAAACTGACATGACAACTTTCAAGATCTCACTTTCCGTAGGTCGTCTCACATTCTCTGATACAGATTCATCAACTCAATGAAATTTCGTTTTGAAGCCAAACATATCTTTTTCTGGGTTTCACCAAACTCCTAATGTTTTCTCAGTTGATTTGTCCGTGTTGTTTTCCAGAGATTTCTGACTCCCAGCCACTGAAATTAGATCTAAATTTCGAATCACATCTTGTGCATTAGATATCCAGTTGCATATTGTGAATCCTTCCTATCTATGAATTTCGATTACGTCATTGACCAATGTTTTTGCCTCTTTTCCACAATCAGCGTTTTCAAGATAGTTGTTCATTTAATGATCTTCAGTTATTAGTCTAACTGCTTCTGGATAACGATCATTGAAGTCTCTTGCATTTTTATTTTCAGCTTCCTGTGATAAACATGATCCACTGGTCGAATCAAAGACAACTACATTGATTTCATAGACATTAGGTGGTTCCCGTCTCTTCATTCCTCTTGACAATATGCGTTGAACTGCAGGTCGTCTTTCTTCACTTCTAGAAACATCTCTTCAATGTCCGCAGTGAATGTTATTCTCTCAACTCTAAAATTCAATAATATGGTGTATAGTGAGTTATACAGGGTGTCCCATTGGAAAACGAAAAAACTCCAACAGTGGATAGAACGCATCAAGGTGGTTCTGAATATACCATATTTGTAGGGTCTCGCAAGTTTCATATCCGAGATATAGGGTGTTTCATCAATTTTGTTCAATTATTTGTGAGGACATAACTCACGAACCACCCAGTATATTCATTTGAAATTTGGTACACGATTTTGCCTTCTCCTATCAAAGCAACTCACCTATCGGTCACGTGAAGAGTCCAGGACCGGATCAACGATAATTGATCATATAACTGGACCCCAAAAATATCACCCTGTATTTTCGAATTTCCAAAATCCGCTCACACATTTGGGAAGTGCATGGAAATCTGAATTGTATGATGTACTTTTCATTTTTCCGCATGCTTTTTCACTAGGTATTTTCTGATTTTGAATATGAGGTTTCATGCATTTGGATAGGTATAAATGAAATGTTTTGAGCTTTCCCAATCGAATAACAAAAACTATCACGAATCACCCAGTTTATTCTTTCGGAATTTGGTACACAAGTGTTCCTTCTTCTATGCCAGCGACTCACCTATCATCAGTCACGATAAAAATCCAGGTCCGGTTCAACGGAAAATTATAATCTTCTGGGCCCGAAATTTTCAAAATTCGATTCCATAATTGGAAAGTTCACGAAGAGACGAATCAAATTGTGTACTGTTCAATATGCCGCATGCTCTTTTACCTATTGATTTCTGATTCTGAAAACTCAAAACTTTCCATTTTACCTCGATTTCTATCTATCCAAATGCGTAAAACCCAAAATTCATGATCAGGAATTCAGTAGTGAAATAGCATTCGTATGAAAATGGAGAATAGACAATTCGATTCAGCTTTTTGTGCAATTTTCAAATATGTAAGCATATTATGGAAATTCGAGAATACAGGGTGTTCTTTTTGGGGCCCAGAAATATAATCAATTTTCGTTAATTCGGACCTGAATTTTCCACGTGAATGATAGGTGAGGGGCTTGAGAAGATCAAGAGGAACTCGTATACTGAATTTCAAAAAAATATACTGGGTGGTTCGATTGGGAAATTTGAAAACATATAATTTCTTCCTATTCGAATGCATAACACCTCGAATTCAAAATCAGGAATTCCTTCGTGGAATTGCATGTGGAGAAATGAAAAGTAAACGCACTTTCCAAATATGTAAGCGGATTTTGAGAATTCGAAAATCATGGGTGTTCTTTTTGGGGTCCAGAAATATGCTCAATTTTCGTTAATCCGGACCTGGATTCTCCTCGTGGATGATAGGTGAGGCGCTTGGGTAGAATGAGAAGAACTCGTGTACCAAAGTTCAGAAGAATATACTGGGTGGTTTCTTGATAATTATTGTTATTCGATTGGGAAATCTCTAGACATATTATTTCTACCTATCCAAATGCATAAAACCTCGAATTCAAAATCAGGAATTCCTTAGTGAAATTTCATGCGAGAAAATGACAAGTACACCATTCGGTCAGCTTCATATGCACTCTCCAAATACGTAGGCGGATTCTGAGAATTCGAAAATACAGAGTGTTCTTTTCGGTGTCCAGAGATATTATCAACTTTTGTTAATCCGGACCTGAATTTTTTTAGTAACTGAAAGGTGAGTCGCTCTGGCAAAAAAAGAAGGAATCGTGTATCAAATCACGAAAGAATATACTAAGTGGTTCGTAAGTTATGTCCTCACAAAGAATTGGACAAAATTAATAAAACACCTTATATCTGGGATATAAAACTTGTGAGACCCTACAAATATGGTATATTCAGAACCACCTTGATGAGCTCTACCCACCGTTGGAGTTTTTCCGTTTCCCAATGGGACACCCTGTATAAGTCTGGACCAGACAAAAGACAATCAATTAGGCTTACACCATTAGAATTTGCTGCGGCATCGGAACAATGCGAAGTTTATTTGGCTTATTTGGGTTGATTACGTAAAAGTGAGGCAAGTACCACAACCTTTGTCTACCTTCTTTCACTTCTTCCTTGCTCAGCTTAGTGATGTGACCTTTCTGTTTCATATCTTATATTTCCTAACAGCACATTTTCCAATGAATTCTTAAAGGTAATGAACTTTTTATATAACTCACCTCGTTCTCTGAGGAAATACATTTTGCAACACCTCGATTTGTCATCTTTGAATGTAAGAAAATATCTTGAACCACCTAGTAAAGATCCACAAATATCTGTGTGGAATATTTCCGAGAGATGTTTGTTTCATGTTATAGTAGGAGTGAAATGTTTTCGAGTCTGCTTCGCTTGTATACATACTTTGCATGGAGGTAATTCTTCGTGTTAAGAGAATCTTGGGTCAATTACTTCATTGTGTGAGGCCAAGTATTCCGAATCTTTTCCATTGAAATGACCATATTTAATGTGCCACTCTCCGTAGGATTTGCTCAACTTCGTATTTTGCGTTTTCAAAATGTTTTTGGATAAATACAAATCTTCAATTCGGTTTGCTTCAAAGACCTTCTCTCCAGTATCTCCGTTCACAATGACGACTACATTTTCAGTAAAAATCACATCAAATCTATTCTCTGTGATGTTGGCTACTGATATTTAATTCGATCAGAAGTCTGGTACTAGTTATGTTTTCTGCAGTTTGATAGATAATTTTTTTGCCACTGCCAGTCTGACATTACCAATCCCTTCAATTTTTGTGGAGTCATCATCTGATAGGTTCAAGGATTGTGTTCTTGCATATAAGAAGATGCCCCATAATTTGAACAGCAGTGACTTTCGGCGCTTGCTGAAACTTTTAAAGTGATTTCGTCCGGTTTGGCAAGTTTAGAAGTTATTACCCTTGAATCTACCATTGGCTTCTCATTCCACGTCTTCGCTCTGCGGTCTCTAATTCATCGTCCACATTCCCCACACCGATGACAGATATATTCGAAAGGTTCAAATTTTTTCATTCCTTTTCTGATAAGATATCTTCGACTGATTTCTTGATGCTAACATAGTATCTGATGACTTCTTTCCATCAATATTCCTTTTATTCCCAGGGCTTCTTGTGAAGGTAGAGTTTCTCGAATTTCGATAGCAATTCTGAATGATTCATAGATTCTAGGATACTGTACAAAAGTGAGAAAGTGAATAATTCTTCGTTGATCTTTGAGTACGTCTCTTCTAGCTTGTCCATTATTTCAAAGGAGTTGGTAAGGTGCTCTCTCATATCATTGCATCTCATGATGAATGGGTGTATTCAATAACATTGCCTTTTTTCGCTAGACCTTGTGACTTATACACATCATGGAGTTCTTCCCATTTTTTTTCTGCAGTTAAACAATTTTTTATATGCCTGAGTTCGGAAGGGTCTATTGCAAGAATTGAATCCGAAATAGCCTTGGCATGACTCTTCCTTCAGTCTACAGCAGCAGCTATATCATCGGATTGCTTCATAGTTCCATCTACGTATCCCTAATCGTCGCTTTTCACCAATAAAGCTTCCACTTGGATCTCCAACGTGGCGAAATTCAACTTGGACAGCAGCTGAATCCTTTATATGGATTGACTCTTATTTACTTCTGATATTCACTTGAGAGAATATCTATCTGCTTTATGCTCTTTCTCCGGTACTTTCTTCTTCTTGAAACTTCGTGATTTACAACACAGCTAGGATAACTGGATCCATAACCTGTTGTAATATGAAAATTTGGAGTGGAGGATGTGAAATTATATTATTATGTGATCGGCAAATTCAATCTTCAACTTGTTATTTCTCACTAATATTACAAAACAATACATTCATCTTAGCCAATCTTGATATCCAACAGAAGAATCAACAGGTAAGAAAAGCATAGCAGGGTACTCTCTGCTGGGACTTTTTTCAGTATTATGCATTTCTGTATATTGCCAATGATCATAGAAGGAATGGGTATCCGTACCTCGGATGATTTCATGATCAAATGCGTTAGAATAACGACACATGTACAATTGGTTTATGATCAGATGGTATAATTATCTTCAGAATGATAGGTATTGTCGCGTACGGGGCTAATAAAGGATCAACCCCCGTCGCTTGTGACGTACTCAGTAAGGAACAGCTAAACCCTTTCAGCCTGATGAGCTTATCTCAGAAGGCTTTCATCTTTCTTATCTACTCAGGATAACCACTATTCAGTGAAACAACCACAGGTTTTTATAAATCAGGGAATTTTATAAGATTTGCCTGGAGAAACAAAAATATATACAACGCCCAGTACAACACAAAATTCTCTTACCTCAATATATTATCCAACATGATCGGCCGTTCTCTCAAGGAGGCAACACGAAAGCTCTTATGGTCGAAAATAACCCGCAAAACAAAAAGGGCACTAACTAAAACCCAAGATGCGCGGTCTACCTAACTCAGCAGCTATCCTCACCCTCGCCTGGAGGACTGACAACTGTCCCTATCTCCGAAGATCTGCCTTTCAATTCTCATGCCAGCTCAAAGTCTATCTCTTCCTGAATCAGTAGTTTCGAATTCCATCACCATCCAACGATGTCCTCGTTTCTAGTTTTGGCAATGACATACTTATTGAATATTTATTGTTTACTGGTGCTGACCCATATTCTCTATAGACTTGAAGGAAGCAATGTTTTGTTTATGAAAATGATTTCATAATAAGAATATTGAATATGGATTCGAAATATGACAAATCTTGATGTTTTATTCGATTTGTTTATCACTTGAAAAAGTGCCCTTCTTGAGAGTATAAGCGATTGGAAAAATTCATGCAGTTTTTCCGTTGATGATTCTATGAATCTGATCGGATTCTGATCGATTTTGATTTATATTCATTCCAGTTACAATTTCTTGTGATCCTTGAGATAAACAACTTATGTGTGAGTTAATCAAGAATAATATTCCTGAGTAAACATTTTCCGAATTCACTATTAACCATCTAGCAGATACTCGAAATATCAACTTTATCTGCTGGAATGATATATTATTCATGACAAATTATCAACTAACAACAAGAATTGAGACTAACAACCCATATAAAATCATCTTAAATTTCACTGAATTTATTGAACGCACCACCCTCTCCACGAATGAACTTAAATTATTTACTGATCTTGGATATTTACATCCAATCCTTTCAGAAAGATGGATTCCAAAATATTAATGATTGATGGAAATCTGAAGTGATGAGCTTTACTTCTTTGTAGTGTTCATTGGAAATCGAATAAAGAACTTGAGGATGAAAATGAATAAGAGGACTGATGAACGATTACAAGTTACACAAGAAATGTTGTCGACAATAAAGATTATAAAAATGTACACATGGGAAACATTCTTTGCAGGAAAAATAGATGTTGCTAGACGGTGAGTATTTGAAAAATTGCCACATAACTATTATTATGAATTTATTCCAATCCTTTCGATCTTGGCTAATGGTTTTCATCATGACTGAAATACTTAAGAATTAAATACCCATGTAGCACATGACGACTATATGACGTCTAATTGACGGCATCACATTCGGCCAAAAGACGTCTTTATTTCAACAAATGCGACGTCCAAATGACGTAAGTAAGACACATCCAAATGACGTCATATTTGAAAGTCTTTTAGACGTCAGTATGTGTTTTCAAATTGGACCTTAAACTGACGACACTACTGACCAATTTCCGACGTCAATAAGACGTCTGTTTTTTTTTTTCATAAAATTTTGGGGTTAATGGTTATAATCTGGTGAGGAATGTAATCATTTGTGATATAAAATAAATTTGCTACGAATGAAGATTTTATCAACAAAATAGTAATGTAAGGTATTACACATAGTTGAAAATTTCAGCGTCGATGGCTGCCCCTTCACAGAGAGCTCTTTTGTATGTTTTGCTGTCTTTAAGAGGAGAGTTTCAACCAAATCGACTTGCAGGCCTGCACTAGTTGTTGCTATTTGGGCTCATGAATGATTCAATTGAAAAACTTATTAAATCATCGTAAAGAAGAAGGTTGGGACTAGGGCCTGGTTATCATACGGAGTCGAAACTCATTTATTTATAGAAGATACAGATTTTTGAAAAACGTAAACATTGAAATTTTTTTGTCTCAAATTGAAGATTTTCGATCTCAGTACAATTGTTGGAAATTCGGCGAGGTGTCACTGAAATATCAGCTCTTGAAATGTTTCCATTAGGACAGGAAGCAACAAAAACGATTATTCTGTCAAAAAAATATTCATTCATCCCAGCTGATCTCGGTAAACTCCATTTCTTGAAAGAATATAATGCAGGAAACTAGGATGTGGTAGTTCAGGCACTACCTGATAGATGGCAGTGTTCGAAATGACAGACTGCGGCAGAGAGGAATGGTGCATTGTATTGCAAGCAGATGGCGCTTAGGAGAGATGATGAATTCAAACCCGTTTACACCGTTGCCAATGTTATACATATTACTCGGACATATTATGAAATCTAGGCGACGTGATAATACAGAGGGTATTATTCAATTATCTGGGCATATTCCAAGGGGAGGTTCTCCGAGTGTTTGTAAGACGAACAAATCTAATATATAAAATTCTCCTGTCACGGTCACGGTCATAGTGGTCGAACTCCTCCGAAACGGCTCGACCGATTCGTATAAAATTTTTTGTGCGTATTCGGTAGGTATGAGAATCGGTCGTAATCAATTTTTTGAATAGAAAATACAAAATGGCGGATCCAATATGGCGACCGAGTATAGTTATCCGATTTCATTCAGAATTGGTACTCAGGGGTTTTCGGGGTCGGAGATTATGAATATTTCGTCAAATTTTGGAAATTCAAGACGGCGGATCCAATATGGCGGACGATCTTTGTAATTATGGTCAGATTCCATCCAAAATTGGTATCTGGGGGTTTTCGAGGTCGGAGATTATGATTTCTTCATCGAAATAAGGAAATTCAAAATGGTGGATCCAATATGGCGGACGAGTTTTGTAATTATTTTTTTTATCGCTTGGAGCGCACGAAAGGAAATCCCTATAATGTTCAAGGAACATCGTGCGTTCCTAGGGAGGATAGGGACAGGAGGTAGGTATTGGAGTTTTTTTTTGAACTTCTGGAGATTATATGTATTTTGTTGGGAATACTACCTCGGGCACTGAATTCCAGAGCCTAGCCGTTTTATGGATGAAGGAGTTTTGATAAAGTGCTGTTCGACATCTTTCGAGGTTGACAACGAAAGGATGTGCTGACTGGGCTTGTCTACTTCGTCTGGTATTGCTAGTGGAGGGATGATAGCCATTTCCCGTGGAAGTATCGATAGAAAAGTGAAAGGTCGCCGACCTTTCTACGGTGTTCCAATGATGTCAAAGAGTGAGTGAGTGTGGCGTCACCCACCAGGCGAATGGCTCTTCTCTGGATGGAATCTAAGAGCATCAGCGTATGTTTTGGTGCTGAACAGAACAGATTGGTCAGATATCATTCAAAATTGGTATCTGCTGGTTTTCGAGGTCAGGGATTATGATTTTTTATCGAAATTAGGAAATTCGAAATGGCGGATCCAATATGGCGGACGAGCTTTGTAATTATGGTCAGATTCTATTCAAAATTGGTATCTGGAGGTTTTAGAGGTCGTAGATAATTATGAATGATTTGTCAAAATGGGGAAATTCAAAATGGTGGATCCAATATGGTGCAAGAGTTTTTTAATTATTATGATTAGATTCTATGTAAAATTGGTATCGGGGGGTTTTCGGAGTCGAAAATAATGATCCTTTTATCAAAATTTGGAAATCCAAGATTGCAGATTCAATATGGCTGACGAGTTTTGTAACTCAATCCGATTCCATTCCAAATTTGTATATGGGGGATTTTGGGATGGGAGATTATGATTGTTCATCAAAATAAGGAAATTGAAGATGGAGGATGGCAACTGAGTTTTGTAGTTATGATCCGATTCTATTCAAAATTTGTATCTGTGTGTTTTCGGGGTCGGAGAAGAATTAGAAAACAAATGAATATAAGTATGTTGATAAATATTTAACTAAAAAAATATTTTCTGGAAATAATTGTATATAGCCGGGTATCAGCTATTGTAATAAATATTAGTTTGAAAAACTAATGAAACACCTTTTTATAGATAGCCATACTAAAAAGAAGTGAGTAGAAAATAAAGAGTAGTTTGAAAAAATGAAGAGGTATAGAGAACCAAACTAAAAAGAACTAAAAAATAAATAGAGTAGTTTGAAACGGCCTAGAATTTGTCACTGCATTATAATTATATAAGTAGACCTGAAAATTTAAACATACAAATTCAGCAGAATTTCTTCAATTCTATTCATGAGATCGATAATTATGTCAGCATATAGATGGAAATAATAGGAATGGCACAGTTGTGGAACAAACTTCAAAAAGCTTTGTTAATCTGTGTCAAAAGTTCAGGTTATTTCACTCTAAAACTCATGCAAAAACATTCGTCTCAGAACTCTCAGAGTACAGTTCTCAGATTTTGGATCCATTGATATGGCGATATTCACAAAGGATAATACCGCCACGGCAAAAAAACAAAACTGAGCGAGAAATCGTTATATGTCTCTCTCCCTCCCGCGGCGAACCGGGGGGATATTCATTGGTCGCACGGTGATTCCCCGTCTTTCCGCAGTCCGCCACGTGCCACTTTGAATTGCGTGAACTTCAGATGAACTTCAAACTAACCGGCATATAATCAATAATTGAAAAGCCAGTGTTGCAAGCTGCTGCAATTGATATGTCGCAAAAATTCATAAGAATGGGCAGAAAAGCGAGGCAACAGGAAAGTCAGCCACATACGGAATATTTGAAAATATAGCAGCCGCTTTTTTTCCGAGACATTTGGAGACGTTATCGAATATCCAGTTCATGTTTTAGAGAATTATCGTAGGTAGATACTTCATATTCCACTTACATCTTCTTTGGGAAAGATTTTTGAAATTCAATGAATTCCGTGATATCAAAATTTTCTTTGAAATATATACAGGGTCATTCATTCAAAATGGTCAATGTGTGAGCTAGAAATAGTAAACATCAGAATATCAAAATTGGTATCTGGGGGTTTTCGAGGTCGGAGATTATGATTTCTTCATCGAAATAAGAAAATTCAAAATGGTGGATTCAATATGGCGGACGAGTTTTGTAATTATTTTTTTAATCGCTTGGAGCGCACGAAAGGAAATCCCTATAATGTTCAAAGAACATCGTGCGTTCCTAGGGAGGATAGGGACAGGAGGTAGGTATTGGAGTTTCTTTTTGAACTTCTGGAGATTATATGTATGTTGTTGGGAATACTTCCTCGGGCACTGAATCCCAGAGCCTAGCCGTTTTATGGATGAAGGAGTTTTGATAAAGTGCTGTTCGACATCTGCTTTTTTTTCGAGACATTTGAAGATGTTATCGAATATCCAGTTCATGTTTTAGAGAATTATCGTAGGTAGATACTTCATATTCCACTTACATCTTCTTTGGGGAAGATTTTTGAAATTCAATGAATTCCGTGATATCAAAATTTTCTTTGAAATATATACAGGGTTATTCATTCAAAATGGTCAATGTGTGAGCTAGAAAGAGTAAACATCAGAATATCAAGATTCAGCCTCACATCTCACATCTCACATAGAAAATGCTGTTAGTTTTGGAGAAACAGGGTGTACAAGGAAAATATTTTATTCTGAAATTCCTCATACAATAACTTTGTAAGTTTTAAATCAGCATGAAAATGGTCAATGTGTGAGCTAGAAAAAGTAAACATCAGAATATCAAGATGCAGCCTCACATCTCTCATAGAAAATGTTGTTAGTTTTGGAGAAACAGGTTGTTCAAGAAAAATATTTCATTTTAAAATTCCTCATACAATAACTTTGTGAGTTTTATATCAGCATGAACATAATTTTCTTATATTTTTTTCATTATGATTCGATTTTTAAATGATTTGAAAAAAGTTGACCATTAAAACAAAATGGATTGTGAGATATAGAAAGCATATGATGGCAAATCAATTTCTCACCGTTATGTTGAAGACCGAAACCAGGGAATCCTGGAAACTTTGGTACGATATAATCACACTCACACTATACACTGTTTTATCACTATCAAACAGAATTTTTATCAACTCGACAAACTTTATTACCTAAAAACATTCGCTGTCTAAGATAGACTAACAAAAACTTTTGAGATGGTGTTCGCTTGAATCTCCTAATTTTGACAAATGATCCAAAATCTCCGACCCCTGAAACACCAGTAAAAATTTTGAATAGAATCGGATAATAAAATTAGAAAACTTGTCCGCTTTAATGGATCTGCAATCCTGAATTTCCCAATTTTGACGATAGAATCATAATCTCCGACCCCAAACACCCATATATA